CTTTCTCTTTATTTGATAACTAAAATTTTCAAATGAGCTTTGTATTTTAGTGTTTAGTTTTCAGGACCAATGCAGGAAATGATGTGAAGATGGATTTAAAAACAAGTACAAATATTTATTACATCTGGTACAATGTCTCATTTGTATTGAAGAGATAATGTTTAAGTTGTGAGATTTTTATAGAGAACATATTTTGTTGTAGTTGGTCAAGCAGCAATTTAACCTTCAACTATCGAAACTTAGTTTTCACTATTTTTAGTTCTGAAAGTACAGTTGTTGAGCAGGAATTTTGACTTAGCAGTTTGCTGGAAGCAAGAGGTGGATTAAGCTTTTTTTTTTTTTTTCAATTATCATGCAAGTAAATAGTACTAACTGAAGAGTTAAAACCTATTTGTTTAAAAACTGAAATATACCTTCTGTAAATAAAGGTTGTTGGGAAATGCTGTGATATTTCTAGGCTATTCCATCCCTGTTCTTTGCTGCTCTTATAAGAATTGAGGACAAACATAGCATTTCCATTCTATTGATTATAAAATCCGCTCATTTTTTATTTATTGTCACTAATATCACATGACTTTTTTTCTTTCATTCTTTCATCTCTTTATTTTAATTCTTGTCTCTCATGCATTGTTTTGTCTCAGTAAACACTTGTCAAATAAGTCCAAATGTTAAATCAATGCCTGTGCTTTGTTTCATTGGTTTAGAGATTCTTGTGATGCCTTCAGTTCTGGATATTCACTGAAAATCTGCCTCATTATGAATATTTTCATTAAAAAATGATTTAAGAAAAAAAGATACAAATTTTGATTTCAAATATTCTTAGTTGTCTTATTTTTGTTTTTTGAGTAAGAAGCATGGAAAAAAACTTAATAAATTCTGGCAAATTAAAACCATTTCTAGTGGAAATTTTTGGTTGTACATTTTGGAACTTGAATAATGTATTTTTGTTGGTAGTAAAGTGTTTCCTCTAGACTAATGTTTGTGTCTTTATGTAGTGTAGAAAAGTTTAATATTTATTTGCAGGTTCATGTAAGGCAATAAATGATATGGAAATATAATTTTTATTAAATGTTTACAACATGCCCATGATTTATTTGATCTTGAGGCTGCTTTCTTAAACAAACAATTATATTAAGAAATAACTTGATGTTTAAAACCTCAAACTCTTGCATGAGTGACAACTGAATTGAAAAGAATTTGTTTAATGAAAAATTTTTTACTAATGATTAAGAAAACCAGTTTGAACCTGTGTGTTAGCTTAAGTGTAAAGAAACATGCAAAGTTTTTAATGTGTGAAAACTAAAATTAGAAATACTTATAATACAAGTTGTATGAATATTCAAAGTTTTAGCTTGTTTAAATGACAATTTTAAGAAGAAAATGTGTTGCTGTTCTTGAAATTTGAACTGGAGTTAATATTAAAAAAGGTTTAAAAAAAATTACTTTAGTCAAACATGTGAGATAAAGAGACAAAAAAATGACAATTATTATTTCTCAACCTGTTAAGATTAACTATGAAATTTTGCACTTATCATTTTTTTTGTATTGTTTCAGTTGGATTTTTTCTTTCATCTACAGAAATTAAGGGAAGAGACTTTCTGAAAAAGAGCAGAGAATAAAATAAATAAATTATTGAACATTAGTCCTGCATCTAAAAATACCAATCAAAAATAAATATATCTTTCTTTTATTTTTCTTTTTTTTTTTTCTTTTTTTTTTTTTTTTTTTTTTTTTTTTTTTTTTTTTTTCTTTTCTTTTTTTTTTTTTTTTTTTTTTTTAAGCAAACTGAAGTCAAAAGAGCAGGTGAAATTATTGGCTTGCAGTTATGCTGACGAAAACAGGGAATATGACACATTTTGGAACAACACATAAGCCTTTTAATGAGTTGAAGAGAATAGTAAAATTTCAAGTGAAAACTGTATACCACTTGATATTAAATAAACTAATTAAATTAACTAATTGCTAACCAAATGAGTCATTAATCTAACCCTTTACCTAATAAGTATTACACTGGTTTGATAATGAAACAGAATTGTATGATACAAAAGAAAAACCACTTAGCTGATTATAAAGGGTTAACCTTCCTAGATTCTGGTTGGGGAGAATCTGATTTTAGTAATATTTGATTATTTGGTTACTGTTGACAGTTTAAAAGGCAACTTTTCTAGAAAAGCTGTCCAACATCATGTTTTGCTTTAAAAAAATTTTTTTTTTGTTTTAAAACATTATAGAATTTTTATTGATTGCCTAGTTCTTTATGCCTGCTTGAATATTTATTTTAAATCTTTGCTTTTTATTTTTGGTTAATAAATTTTGACATTTGTTTTATATTCGTGCCATGTTTAATATTCTTTTTGCTGCACATACATTGTCTTGGTTTTGTAACTATGCTTATTTTGTGTACAATTCAAATTCCTCTCTATGACTATCAACCTGACATGTATGAACACATCAGTTATTTGATCAAGATTTCTCAGATGTTTAAGTCATTTATTTATTTACTTTTAAAATTTGGGTTTTAATTGGAAAGCTTCATTTAAAGATATGTCAAATTTGAAAGCTTGAATAAACAATTCAAGTCTAATGAAATTTTTGTTAAATTATAATAATGTGCACAAAACTTCAGAATTAATGATTAAATTAATGATTAATGTCTTGCATTGAATTTAAAAACTTTAATTGTGATTTTCTTAGATTATATTCTGGTTTCTTTATTTATGGGAAATAATTTTATCTAATATTTATTTTACTATCATTTTTTTCAGTTTTGTTTCTGCATAACAATATTTGCATATTTTTAATGATCTTCTTTTTCTTTCAGTAATTAAAAGAAGAACCAATAATTGTTAAACTTAATATTCAGTTTATTTGATTAAAGTTTTTGTTTTGTTTTTGCTTAATATTTTTTCTTTTTGTTCTGGTGTTGTGTTGAAAACCTTGTCTGCTTCAATTTATTTCCATGGTTGATTTTTGCTCTGTGTAATTTTTAAACCTTCTCAAATGAAAAACTGTTAAAGTAGCTTCATTTATTACCGGAAATGATCAATTTAGCACCCCACTCTCAATTCTTCATGGGATTCTTCATGGAATTTAAAATAAGCATCCCTCTTGAGTAAGCACCCCAGGGCCACTAAAATAATATATTTTAGAAAGAAAAGATGTAGATGAAGATGATGTTGAAGAACTTTGAACAATTTAGCAAAGTTATATTTGTGTTGAAAGTGATAGGTTATTCTTCTTGCTGTTTCTATATTGCATCATGAAGTTCTTATAGTTGTATAAATAAAAAATGAAAATGGTTAAAAATTGATTAAGTGCCCCTTGCCACTTTCAATCAATATTTTTTCAATAAGTGCACTGGGGTCTAAACTGAGCACTTATGGTAATTTATTTTGAGGAATTTGATCAAATCTGCTTTTGACATAAAAATGCACCAATGACACATTTTTCTGTTAAAATTTGTTAAATTTGCACATTAACTTAGGAAATCTTAAAACTCTAAGCAGAAGGAACATTTAAGTTAGGAAATAGTAAGGTTAATACATATATATTTTATTACAAATAACAATGAATACAAACATAGCTCTCTTTAGTTTACAGAAACAGAACTCAAAACTGAGATTGTGTTTGGCAGTTTCACCTCTGATCTAGCAGAAATATTTTTATTTAGTCAGCAAGAGGTTTACAGACTTGTTTAATATAAAATAATGTTAAATCATACAGAATCCATATTGATGATAATGTGTTATAAAATTCATTATATATATTTTTTAAATGTTGTTAAGACTATTTGATTATCAAACAGTCTTAATAACATTTAAATAGGAAATAGCAAATATTTGCAACTATAAAGTGCATTCAGCAAGGATGAAACTCATTAGCAATGTGAAATGTGTTCACTTATCTTTAGTTACTTGAGACAAAACAATAAATTTAATTTATATTAATTGCTAATTTGCCTTTCATAATTTTTTCATTAAAATATTATTTTGATTTAATTTTTTGCTGTTTATTGATTGAACAAAATGTGACAAACAAGTTTGAAAAATAAATGAACATTAACAAACGTTCAAACATGCAATATAATTAGTTATATAGAAAAAGACAGGAATAAACACATTTATTAATGCAAAAGCAATGGCCTTATAATTAATATTGAATCGTAAAGTAGTAAAAACACTAAAAACTCATACAAGGATCAATGAAGCCTTAATTAGATTTTGAGAAATTTTATGGTTTTAATATCCTTAAATAAGATACCTTTTCATTTTTTTTCCTTTAATAATATCATTTTCATTCTCTCTGTGTCCAAGAGCAGTTTTTTGCTTTCCCTCAATTTATATGAAATATCAGAATTTTACACCTAGTCTGAAAATTTTTTTTTTCTAAATTTTAAAATTATTTTCCACTAAGAGTAAGCATTTTATAATGGCACCAATCTTTTTTTTTTTTTTTTTATCTTTATTGTTAGTGGACAATGTAATTTATAGTAGAATATGTATGACTGGATATTTCTCTTTGCAGTTGAGATATCTCATTCATATTTGTAAACCATTTTATTGTTCAACTTTCTTATAGATTTTTGGAAATTGCTTTTAGAAGAGGAAAAATAATAAAATTTAGGTTGAAATAAAAAAAAAAAAAGGAAAAAAAAGGAATTTTGAAAATGCAACCAGAAAAAAAAAAAAAAAAACCACTCATGAAAATAATTTTCAACTGAGTTTTTACCTTTAGGTTTACAGTTAACTCATGTCAATACCAGTTTCTCACTTTATATAAATAAACTGGTCTTTTAGAAGCTTTCCATTTCAGAACTTTGGACTATGCATAGATTTTAAAAGTCCAAACCAGTCATCTTGGAAGTGGAAGCCTTCATATACCCCCTCTCACTCTCTCTCTCTCTCTCTCATTTATCCTTATTAAGAATTTTAATCATACATACTATTTTTATTATTATTATTATGTTCTAATATTATAATTTATCTGCTTCTTTTGACTAGACCGGTGTAAAAAACTGCATGAGTAGCTCTCCAAGCCCTGTACACAGCAATGTTGCTAGTGGGGGTGAGGATTGTGACTTTGAAAATGCCAGTAATACTAGTGGTAGTCGGAAGAACTCCCAAGGGTTAGTAGCATTATTTAAACTATTTTGTTTTTGTTTTTTTTTTTCATTTTGGTTTAATTTCTAAATTCTTGCAGAAATTTCTTTACACTGGTTATTTTTTTTTTGTGTGTATGTAAATCATAACTTTGATGGGAACTATGATATATAAAGCACTTCAGTCATTTATTCAAACATAGTTGATTAAAAGTGGGTCTCTTTGGAAAAGCTAAAAAAATTTATGATTTATGGTTTATAATTTTCATATTTAAATATTTTATCTTCATAGCAGTGGAACTGCTAAAGAGCTATTCAATTCCCAAATTTTAGAAGTAGAGAGTCAGCTGATCAGTTTTTTTCTTTCTATTTTAACCTCTTTAACCTTTGCTTTCTAATTATCTTTATAGCTTTTCTTACATTTCTTATTTCTAATACATTTACATTTCAGATTGCATTAAGCCTAAAAGTTTATTCAATTTATTAGATAAAAATAATTAAAAAAAAATATTGGAAATTACCTCTATTGAAAAATTTATTTACCATTTTTTGCATTATCTTCTGCTATCATTTAGGTAATTTTATAATTTCATTCTCCCAGAACTTTTTTTTTTATCTTTGTGAGCAAAGAATTGCTCTCAGTCCCTTTTGCAGTCTTCCAAGGAATTTAATTTTTTTTAAAGAGATTTATGTAAAGAGATATAATATCTGGTGAATATTATGAATGAATGAAAACTTCCTAGTGTAGCCATACCATTTTTTGCCTGGTTACCAAAGAAACATGCATTAACCTGATGGTATATCAGGTCCTTTCTTTGAAATAATTCTGGATATTTTTTGTCAATTGCTGTCTTCAGTTGGTGCAATTGGGAGCCATACATATTCAAATAAATGGTTTGGTCCTTCAGAAGGAGCAAGCTTCTTTCCAATCACTTTCTTTGAATGAAGATTAGCCTTTCCTATTGTTAGTGAGGGGTAGTGGTGGTCATTTTCCTTACCCCATGATGTCTTACATTTCCACATTATTTTAAAGTATCTTATTAAGTACTGATTTACAGTCCAGTTGTTTTTTTTCTATTTTCATTTAACATATGGCAGCTGCATCAAAGTGATTTATATACCCAAACTGGTGTAAATGATTTTTAATGCTTGATTTCAGTATTTTCAAAATATTAGCTAATCTCCTGCTGCATAACATTGATTATTTTCAATCAATATCTTAATTTGATCACTATCAATCTCAGAATTTTTAACATCTTTAATCATTTGTCCTTCCTTCTTTATACTTTCATACGTCTTCTGTATTTCAATCATATTTTTACCTTTCTTAAAATAAAAATAATAGCATATGCTCAAAATTTAAATTATTTTCTTCAATGTTCAATGTTAGGACTAATAAACAAATATCTACCAATTTGCTAGTGTTTTTAATGTCCAATTGATATAACTGCTGTCACAATGAAAAAGGATCTTTGTAAATGAAATTATTTTAAACCAAAAATCTACTACTGTTGAAGGATCAAAATGTAGGCAGTTAAAGTCACTTTTATTCAAATTGTTCTGATACGAGTAAACAATAAAATGTTAACAAAATCTCCTGTGGTACATGTTAATTGAATCTCGATTAACTAAAACAATAATTATTTTTAGTATTTATTACTTAAAAGTTATTTTTACTTTTACCTAAGTAGATACTTTATTTATTAAACAGTATATATATTTATTTTCATCTACTGGCCTGAATATTCCAGAAATCTTATTAAAGAAAAATATGCACTCTCTGACAGGACTTGAACCTGCATTCCCCTTGGCAGGAGAAACTATTGTTAGATTTGACATGCTCATACTGACTCAACTACAGAGAGTTGCTGATCAAGCAAAGTTGAATGGTGCCTTATAAACTTACATGAATAGCTGAGCTAGTATAAGCATATTGGATCTAATGTCAATTTCTCCTGCCAAGGGGGATACAAGTTCAAGTCCTGCAGGAGAGCACATTTTTCTTTTAATAAGATTTCTTGATTATTCAAGCCTGTAGATGAAAATAAATAAATATACTGTTTAATAAATAAATGGACCATCTACTCAAATATGAGTATCCACTAAAAATAACTAAGTAATAGAATTTGTTGGATTAATAAATAAAAAAAAAATTACTACTTTAGAAATTGCTTACTTTTTTTTTTTTTGTTTTATGACAATCAATTTTAATAGGAAAACACTAATGATTCCCTTAATATTCTAAAAAAAAATGTTTGCTTTCTTATAGTTTATTTTATTAATTTTTATTTTCATATTTGAAATCTTTGTTATTATTTGACTGTTAAAGATGATACTTTATAGAAAATATTATGTTTCCATATTTTCTTTCTTGCAGGAGTGATGTGCACAAGAGCTCTCTTCAAAGTATAAGTGAGGCTGCTCCACTTAGGAAAACCCCATCTGCTGTTTTTGAAGAGATGGCAGGAGATGTTATTGGATTACCTACACAAGCTGAAGTAGTAAAAAAAACTGAAAAAATTACAAAAAAAATTCAAGAACTTTTGCAGTCAGCACAAGAAGAAAAATATGAAAGGTAAGCACCTTCAATTCAATGAAATGAATGAAATTTATTTTTGGCTTTAATGAAAGAATAATAAATAAATCTATTAAGTTGTTCAGAATTCAAATTGAATTAATGTGAATAGCAAAGATTAGCTATGTATATTTGCCAGCAAGAAGTAGCATCATTCAGAATTATAAATCTTAGGACAAAGATGTCAAAAAATCAGTTAAACATTTTTTGTATCTTTCTTATTAGTAAACTGCTTTTATATTAAATGTTCAAATGTTAAAAGAAATGGTAAATATGGAAAATAAGGCCAAACTATGAAAGTGAACACATTGTGGTTGAGCATTATCGTAGAACAAAATGAATGCTAGTCTTAGACATTTTTTCTGAAACCCTCTCAATTCTATGTAGTAGAACATGACCTGTGGGAGAAAATTGCTGGCCATCACTTACTATGTTTTGTGGTGGAAAAAGTTAGCTTTAGAAAATATTTTTGATAGGTAGATTATTTTTGTTGTTATTTCATTGGTTTTCATTAAGAAATGTAAAAACAACATCCACATTTTAAGATGGTGACTTTTTTTAATATTTTTTGTGTGGGTCAGTTTGTGGGACATTTACATAGGTTTTGTTTTTAATTTTCCCAGTTTGCTTTAAATGTTCTGAAATTGTTGAAAGTGAAATGTTTAATATTGGGCTTCCCACTCACATAGTTTGGTAAGGATTCAAGATTTCCTCTCTTCATTTTTGCATCTCCATTTGAGAATTTCAAAAACCAATGATCTATGTTCTGAAATAATCTCTTTAATCAATGTTACAGACAAAACTAAAAGACACTGTAGTCAAGTTTAAATACAAGAAAAAGATGTGTAATTGTTTAATTTAAGTTTGCCAATTATTGCTTGTGGAAAAAAAACTCTTAACTTTAAAGAATATGTATATTTTGTAAGATTAAATATTAATATTAGACTAAAGAAATATGGAGTACATTTCAAAATGGCTAATATGTTTTATTAAATGAATTGTTATTTTATAACAAAATTATCATTTTTCTGGGAAACTTATGAATTAAGATTAATTTTCACCTTGCACCGTTTGTCTCTTAAACATACAATAAACACTAAAATTTATAAAATGTTTGAAATCAATTCTAATTGTGTTTGAAGTTGCTTAATTTTGTGCTGATATGTTATTGCCAATTATAATTTTGAACAGTGTGTTTAAGGTTGAATTTATTTTGATGGCTTTATTATTTGTTATAATATCTGAGAAGTAGCCTTAATTATAAGTTTGGAATATATTTCAGATTGAGTGATAAATGAGTGCTTGTCATGCCTTTTATGTAAAATATATATACAATGGGGTGCTGAAAATTCTTGGCTTGTTCAAAATAAATTCTGATGTTTTATCATTTAATCACATTTTGCAAATTGGGTTAGGTTGAGAATTTTTTGATACCCTCCTCATATAGATAAATGGGTTTAAAATTCATGATATTTAAAAGGAATTTTGATTTAAATGAATCTTTTAAAAACATTTTTGGCATAAGGTATTATGAAACCTTTTTAAATTTAAAAAAATAATTTTAAATGAAACTTAGCATTCTTATTGTGAGCAGTAGTAACATTTTTGTTATTAGTAAATTATATGATTCAAAGTGGACAGATAATTTGTCATATAAGATTATTGTTTACATGAATAAGTTTATTTTTTTTTTTATTGATAAAGAGAATGAAGAAGAAATGATTTTGAGAAGTGATCTGATTTGTCTAGAAACTGTTCATTGCTAAATTTCTTGAAGAAAGCAATTTCTGATTCTGGCCAAAGAATTTGAATAATAAAGTTATGAATAAGTAATATAAGTTGCATTTCAAATCTAATGTTTGCCATTTTCAAAATGAGATTGAATGAATAAAACCTCAAATCAAATAAGAAAACAGAAGTAACTTTTTGTAAGTGGACAAACAGATTTGGGGAAGAAACTTGACTGATTGTGATTCTTTCCTTTTCAGCTTTGCACCTTGTTCACTTAAAATTCATGCAGCAGTTGTTGATATGGCTTCCCTATTTCCCAAGGTAAATTCCCACTTTCACAAGGAGAACACACACTATTGTCCATTTGCCAACATATTTCTTTGTTTTTAATAAACTTTTATCACTGCTGTATAATAATGTCAGACATTTTCTTGGATCAAATATAACAGTTGAGATTAGTTTGTAATTACTTTAAAACAGGTGGTGATAATATGTGCATAAAGTTCCTTTTAGATTTGCTACTTTAATTTATTATCATTATTTAATACACATGATTATTAACATGAAATATAATTTCTGTAAAGTTATTGTGCAAAATCCATATAGACTTCTATAAATGTTTTCCAGTTCTATTAGATTTGTATATGGACAATTTTTATAACTTTAATCAAAACTAAATATATTACTCTTTATTTACTTAAATGTAGAGATTGCCAAAGGCTGAAAGTATCCGATGTGCCTTACTCCTGTTAACAAGCAGTGCTACACGGCTGACAGAAGAATGTCAAGAATGCCAGTTGAGCCATGAGCAACATCAAAGTTTTGACCCTCAGTTAAAGACTCAGCAAGTGATACAATCTGCATTTGATATTGCAAAAGCAGCCAAACAATTAGTCACTCTTTTCCAATAAACATTTTTGATATTCACCTCTGACCCAAACTCCATTTCCCTTGTCAGTTTACATTTTTTTAATGATTCTTGTCATATTTTTTCAGAACAAGAAACATTTTCTTAATATAAACAAAAACTTAATTTGAAAAAAAAAAAAATATTTAAAGAAAATTTTTTATCAATATGTAAAAATACTTTTGAACTTTTTTCTTTCAATGATTTCTTCAAAATTTTTCATTTAAAGATAAAATTTCAGTTTTAATGGAAAATTATCCATTGTTTATAATTATGTTTTTCTGAATGGAAAAACAGCAAATTTTTTTTATACGAAATAATTTTGTAATCCATTTAAAATTTTTTTTTTTTTTTGCTAAAATTTCTGTAATTTTTCTTTCATATTTTAAGAAGCACAATTAACAACCCTTCCTATCTATTATCTTTGTTTTATTTATAGATAATTATGAAAAGACCATGTTAATTGCTGTTGTTTTATCTAGAATGGGGAGGCGTTGTGTTCAGGTGTGACTTTAAATCATTGCATAAAACCAATTCTCATAAAACTGTAAAAATGATTTTGTGACACAGAATAAAATCCATTTATTGATTGCTACATATGTGACGATCTTTGTTTACTTGGTTTTGGCAGATTTTGCAAGTATATTCTGTGTATCAACTGTGAAATTACTATATTTAAGCATTTTACCTAACTTTTTCTATAAATTTCCAAATACACAAATTTTTCATGTGAACTTGAAATTGATTCTCTAATGTTAAAAGGAAAATCTTCATAAAATCTCTAAAGTGGGGATTAATATGCATCTTTTGAAATAAATATATATATATATATATATATATATATATATATATATATAAAAGTGGGTCAAAACATTATTTTGCTAGATCCATTTTGGAATATGGTAACTACATACAGGGTGTTCCAATTTAGTGTACCAATTTTTATTGTTTTATAACTTAGCATATTTTGTTAGTTATTTTTGGAGGTGATTTTAGTCAGCTAAACTTCAGTAGACTTTAAAAACTTCTATCATTTCTTTTTACATAAGGCAGGCAATGTTTAACTGAGGAATGCAACAGTAAATGTCAGTTTTATTTCCTCTTAATAAAGTTGAAATCCTGCCATGACCCACTATTTCAGAAAAATGGGTCAGAAATACTGGAAACAAAAACAATTCAGGATAAAGTTTAGCTACCTATCATTCAAATTGGTCACTGAATTATAACACTCAAAAGATACTTGTTAATATAGGTTTATAATTTTGACAAGAGGGTCCGCTGTGATTTTTTTAGGACCAATGTCATTCCTAGCATTGTGGTCATTGTCAGTGTCTTCAGGTATTATCTGTCATATCTGGTTACCTGAATGTGAACAAAGTCCTGAGAATGTAAATGAACAGTTACAGAAAAAGAAAATTAGCCATTATTAATGCTGTTAAAAAGTATTTTTCTTTTATGCTTATTGAAAATAATTGACCAAGTTAAAAAATGCCTCGTTTCTTTTCTTCTTCTGTTGTTGTTGTTATTATTATTATTATGATGATGATAAATATTGCATGACTAATATTGATTTTTGTGTACTAATGATTGGCATTAGGATGTGAAAGAGGCCAAGAGACAGGGGTTGGATATCACCAAAGATTTGTAGGACCAGCCCTGTGCAGTGGTTTGGAAATGTTTCTATGAGGGCAGAGTTAATTTATTTTGAAGACCATTGTATAAATGTTGGTTGAAATAATGATGATGATAAGCAGCTATTGGTGCTGTGTATTTTGATTGGAAAGTGAATGACTTGAATAGACTTATAAATTATTTTGTAAAGATTATCCTCATTAGAAAATGTCTGTAAACAGAGTAGCTGTTTGGTTGATGTGTGTTTATATACATGTGTGTCTATATATATATATATATATATATATATATATGTATATCTGTAAATATAAATATATATATTTTTTTGTACATACATGCCTTTGTGTTATATGTTCGTAAATATATGTGTGTGTTTGTGTATGGAAAATATATATATATCTGTGTAAAATATATATTGCATATATATATATTTATACACATGTAAGATATGTTTTTAAACATGCATGCATAAAATATGTATTGACACACACGCACACATTATCTATGTATTATATTTATACTGCCATGAATTGTTTTAAATGAATGCAGTGTTTTATTTGCAATAATGGGAAGTTTTGTAATAGAAATTCACTTTTCTTTTTCATTTTTAACATTTTTTCCAGAAATATATTTTAATGATGAAAAAAATAATTTTATTTTGTTGTTGAAATGTCATTGAGAGAGAATTTGAGCATCTTAATATACATGTTTTTCTTTACCTCATATGAAATTTGCTTGCCCTAGTTTGTAATGATGGATAAATTGAAAACAACCACTAAATTCCTCTGTTACAAACCTGCAGCTCTACAAGTAAATTAAACACAAATGTATATTGCATATTTCATTGATGAGGTAAGAAAGTAGATGGCTGCAGAGAATGGAGAAGATAATTTCAATAATAATATTTCTGAGAAGTGGCAGAGGAAACCGATTAAGGACTTTTACATTGTCTTCTTTACTTTCTCAAAAAATGGCTGATGATGAAACTAAAACATTAACAGAAATGCAATTTCAGAAATGATCACTTTTGTCTTCAAGTGATCATTTCTGACTCACCTATGGCTAGCTTTATTTTCTTTTTTCTTTTTTTTTTTTTTACTTGACACTGGTTTTCCTCAGATGTTCCAGACTTTTTATTACAAAACATATATAAGAATTCCCATGAGAAATTTTTTATCTAAAAAAAAAAAAAATGTTAAATTACTGATTATTTAATATACTGATTGATAATGTTTTTTGATAATTTACTGTTAACTGTTCACCCCACCTTTTTTTTTTTTTTTTTTTTTTTTATTAATTGCTTTTTAAAATTTATCACATTTTGGTGGTGAGTGTTCACATATTATTGTGAAATAATTTCAGAAAATAAACATTTAAATTCTTTGGAGAAAAAAAAGACTTTTTGAATGTGAAAAAGAAATAGAAAATAATTACCCAGTTGAAAATTCTAATTAACAGCAAATAAAATTGGGGCATTTTTTTGTGGGAGCTTTCTTTGCTTAAGCTTTATAAATAGTTGTTAAAAAAAAAAAGGATAACATTATAGGAAATCTTTTCATCATAGGATTGGCAATATTTGAAAGCATTACCAGAAAAAAATGGATTTCAAACTGTTCCCCATAAAAATTTTAATACATATTTTCCCCTTTTAATTTACTTATTTATTTATGACTAAAAATCTTGAGAAATTTAAATCAAACCTTTTTTTCTTTACAATTCTTTTAAAAAAGCCAAGTGTACACTTTTACAGTAAAAGACATTGTTCAAAATTATTGATTTAAAGCAGCAAATAATTTTTTTACAAAACATTAAAAAATTGTACAATATATTCCAGAGTAAAAGTGTATTCTCCTTCTCACATCCCAAGTGTCTTCTCCCTCCCTCATGACCCCCCCACCACCACTACTCTGCCTTTAATCATTAATTACTAAAATATTTCTCCAGTATTTTTTCTTTTCTTTTATATTGTCTCTCGTTTATTCCATTTACTTTATTCTTATTATCTTCCTTTATATTTTCCTCCCATTCATACCTCCTCTCCCCAATGACTAATTACTTTTATTTTTTTTTGATTGATTGCACTTCATTATCATGGACATAAAAATCGGTCTTAATCCTCCAACAGGTTAGAAAACACTCCCTGCTGTGATAAAAAAAGAAGTTTCTATTTAAAGTTTTAAAAAATGCTACTTAAGGAATCAGTGAAAAGTTAAATTTCATGATGTCATCATTTTGTTATAACTACCTGAGTCTCCCCATGGCAAAAGAAACATAAATATTTTTAACAATTTTATTAGTTTTTTCTTTCTATTTTTCATAAGTTTTTTTTTTTTTTACTTTGATTCATAGTACCATTAAATTAAAATAGATCTTTTATTTCTTGAAAGGCTTTTTGCTCAAATTATTTCTTTTTCTGAAATTATTATCACTTGAAATAGTTAATTTTTGATATAATTGATTTCATTGGGCTTTTATAATGCCTAATGATAACAAAAATTCTCTATAAAATAATCCCAAAAGAAAAAAAGAAAACATCTGTTTATAATATGTCAGCTTTAGATTGGGTAACAATATACAGAGTATTTTTTACAAATTCATAAGAATTTAAAAAAAAAAGTATTGAAATTTTGATTTTAAACAATACAAATGTCTCTTTTTTTACTTTTATGATTAATTAAAAGAAAGAAATTCTAATACCTGCCAACTTATAATACACTTAATCCACACCCAAAATTATTAACATTTAGACATTTCCAAAAGCCTTCATCAATAAGACAAAAATCTATTAATTTTCACAATGACTTAAAAAAAATCCATTTAGTTGCAGATGTCTGAGGGATGTATATAAGGAATATATTGAAATTTTAAAAGGGACAAAAACAGAAAAATAAAACAAGAAAAAGCAAAAACGGAAAATACTCTAAAATTGAACTTCTGTCAACACAGTGACATTTAGGAAAAAAATTCTCATTACTGTTATTGCAAAAGTTTAAAGAAAACGATTTTAAATAATGGAGTCTGGCCGATTCTTATGGATTCTTATTTAATCTCTCTTGCTAACATTTTTCATTTCATTATATTTGGTCTATTCTTTACCCAACCTCAACTCTGTTCATATCCCCTCCCATACACTGTTTCTCTTCTTCTCTTGCCCACTATCTACTTGTTTACCCCCCCCCATCCCCCCATTTTATCTTTTCTTACCTTATTTTTTTTCTGTCTCTGGCTTATCTCTCATTGCTGTTATATCTCCAATTGAAAGCTTATGTTAAATCATAGAATAATAGTAAGAAGCAAATTCTCTGAAAACAAAAAGAGTTTTGTGAAAAATAAATTTAAAAAAATCACAAGTAATTAAGAATAAATTTTAGT